GTTACCTTGCCTCTCTGCTGGGATTATCCTAAAATCGGTTTATCTGAAATCTGATTTCAAACTGTTCTCTCAGGTCTCCCCATAGAATTGAGCTCCAGTTTCCCAGTGTTAACTGGTTTGATAACATGCCCTTTACTGACTTTGATGTCTTCCTTAATGTCTTTTCCTTACGACTCCACTGGTATTTCCTAAAATAAATGATTTGCACTCAAATTCAAGGCACCTTATTAAGTCCTAATATTAAAAGAGGCCATCTATTTAATTGGGATGCTTTTGGGGAGTCAAAGGGCATACTAGTCGTTGCTAGAATAATGGGAGTAAGCTGGGACTGCCACAGACAAACAGGATGTAAGGTCAACCTACTAATTAGACTTTTCGTTTCAAAGTCCATTTGTCTTATGTAAATAGTTATCCCAGCTTCCTTTCGCTTGCTATATGCCTGGTATATCTTTTTCCATTACTTTATTTTCAACAATTCCAAATTTTTGTTTTGGGTATATTTCATTTAAATGGGAGATAGCCGAATTATTAAAAAATGTAATCCAACAGATTGTATTTTAACTGATGAATTTAGGCCATTTACAATTTATTTATAATTTAGCCTCATTTCTACCATCTTATTTTTGGCTTTCTATTGTCTCGCTTTTTCTGTGTAAGTTTTTTTTTTTCCTTAGCCTAAAAAAGTTGATTGTGTTTGTTCCTTTATTCTATTTCCCCTTTTATTGGTTTGGAAACAATACCAATTCTCTCATTTTATTCCTGCAATGGTTACCCTGACAAGATTCCCTTGACTATTTAATCAAATCTGAAGTTTAATATCTTAACCATCTTCGTTTCCCCAATGAATTCCAAGACCTTGCAATAATATCATGCTGATAACCCCCCCTCCCAACTTGCACGCTATTAATTCCCTGTGTTTTATTTGTTAGGTTTTGGAAAGTACAAATAAGGCACTATTTAGGGGCGCCTGGATGGCTCAGCCAGTTAAGCGTCCGACTTCAGCTCTGGTCATGATCTAACGGTTTGTGGGTTCGAGCCCCGTGTCGGGCTCAGTGCTGACAGCCAGCTCAGAGCCTGGAGACTGTTTCAGATTCTGTGTCTCCCTCTCTCTCTCACCCTCCCCTGTTCATGATGTCTGTCTGTCTCTCTCTCAGAAATAAATAAAACATTAAAAAAATATATATATATGGCACTATTTAGATTTGCATACTTTTCTACCCATGGTCCTTTCTTGTATCTCAAACCTTGCTTTTCCCTCTTCCCAAAAGATGTCTTTGAGGAGTTCTTATAGTGTTCATGGTAAAATGTAGTTTTTGTTCATCAGATAATATCTTTATTTTACCCTCATAATTGGAAGATTGCTTGGCTAGGTACAATATTCTGGGTTGTTTAATTGTGTCCATGAATTTGAAGATCCTACTCCACTTTCTAATGATTTCTATTATTGTGATCATCTAAACACACAAGATCCATCTTTCTCCTTCTGGATGCTTTTAATATCTTTGTCTTTGGTATACTCTGGTTCTACTATATTTTATGTAGGTATGGAAACCTTTTTATATATCTTCTGTGTTAACTTTCCTATATCTATGTATTTACACTTACCGTGAGTTCTACAAAAACTTCAGTCATTACTCTTAAAATATTGTTTTGCTTCCATCTCTCTATTCTCCACTCTGAGCTCTTGATGAAATATATGTTCGATCTTTTCATTCTGTGTGCCATATCCCTTACTATCTTTTTCATATTTTTCATCCCCTGGTTATTCTGTGCCTTAAATGTGAAGCATATCTGCAGAAACATCTTCCAATTAAACTAACTCTCTTCAGCTGTATGTAATGCGCTGTTTAATTTTCTCATTTACATTTTAATTTCAACAAATTCTATTTTTATTTATAAAAGTTCCATTTTGTTCCTATTCAACTTTGGTTGCTTTTGACAGTTTCTTGTTGCTTGCTCATTTCTGTAATTTTGTTTTGCATTTCTTCAAGCATTTCACAATTATTTAAATTCTATACCTGGTAATTTCAATATCTGAAGGGCTTTGGGTCTAAGTCTACTGCTTCTTATAACTGCTGACTCCCATTCATGGTGATTCATTTCCTTCTATGTTTAATGGTTAATGATCAGCTCATCTTTGGCTGGTCTTAATCTCTGAAAAATTTAGGAGATGCTTTTCTCTAGAGAGAATTTGCATTTTTTATTTTAGAAGCTTGAGGGGCACCAGGGTGGTTCAGTTGGTCAAGGATCCAACTTTGGCTCAGGTCATGATCTCATGGCTTGTGAGTTCAAGGCCTTCATTAGGCTTTGGGATGACACCTGAGAGTCTGGAGCCTGTTTCAGATTCTGTGTCTCCATCTCACTCTGCCCCTCCTCTGCTCACACACACACACACACACACACTCTGCTCTCTCAAAAATAAATAGACATGTAAAAAAAAATTAAAAATAAAAAGAATCTTAGGACCCCCTTCTACGATACTAACTTAATCCTGGAGTCTCAGGCTCAGCTCTCCCACCCTGTGACTGGCCCATGTCTAGTCTTCCATTATAGTGCTAAAGTAAACATTTGTCCCTGGGTAATCCACACTTAATGGATGCTAAGTAGTCTGGACTCACCTTCTACTTCCAAGCTTTTATACATGCTGCCCCTTCTCCCTGGAATGTGTCCTTTCATCTTGTTTTTTTTCACTTGATTAACTAATCTAAGACTAAGCTCAGGTCTGTTCTCTTTCAAGATACCTTTGCTGATACCCCTAATCTAAGTTAGAAGATGCTCTTTCATGGTCTCAGAAGACATGGTATCTATCTCCGCCATTACATTTTTCACACTATATTGTGCCAATCTGCTTACTCCATGGGACTACCTGGGTAGGGGTCATGGCGTAGTTATATTCTTTCCCCGGAGTCTAGCACGGGGTAGATTAACAAATGTTTGTTGAATAAATGAAAGAGCACTGGAATGAATGAATGAATGAATGAATACATGGGTGAGCAAGTGATGGTTGTGGAACAATTTGGCATTTGCAAAGAGGCTGAAGAGTGATGATGGAAAACGAGAAGAAAAAGGAAAAGGGAAGAGACTGGTATTTTTAAACTGTTTGTACTGTTCTCCTTGCTCAAGAGCAATAAAGTTGTCGTTCCATTTCATTAAAAGTTTATTGAGCATCCACGATGTGCTGGGCACTCTGCTAGATGCTGGTGATACAAAGATGAAGATCAAAATGAAACCAAACCAAACCAAAACCACTTCCTTACTTACTCCCCCGATTTAAGGCAGATTTGGCTTGAGCCTGGGAAGCTGGCCCACCAGGGATTCAGCACCAGGGCAGGGGGTGCAGCAGGCTCTCATCTCCCCCATTTCAACCCTGCTTCTTGAGGCTGAGCAGCCTGCACCCCTTCTCCAAGTCCTCCAGCTCCCACGTGCCTGAGCAGCTGTCCCCTGCAGGCATGATCTCATTCTGGATGAGGCACCTGGGAAAGTTAGGGGAGCAGTCCTGGCTACCTAAGGGAAGCTGCAAAGACACACCTGCTCAAATGGGCTTGGACAAGTGCACAGGGAGGGAGCGGGGAGCGGCATGCTGTGGAGGTCAGGGTGAATGGGGACTGATTAGAAATGTTGTTGCCTTTGGGGCTGGAACAAAACCTCCCCAGTGTGGAGTGGTGCGGAAGAGGGGAGTTTCTCTGTGAGACAGTGGAGAGTCAAGGCTGGAGCTCAGGAGATTGGGGAGGGGCCAGGGATGAAAGGACCCCTACAGGCATCACGGAAGAGAGGTTAGAACCCAGAGGCCCTGGTTCTCTTTCAGGGTTTTAATTGCCCTCACTCCGCACACAGTAGATTATTGTCTCTCTTGCAAACTGTTCAAGAGGCAGTGACATGGGCATGGCCTGGCGACACAGTGGCCCAACCTCTCTGTATTCTATGTTTATGTGCTTAGGGAGTCTGCCCTTGTCTTGTCTCCTAGGGTCTGAGCATCTGGGAGCAGGGCAGGTGGGAGGCTGGAGAGCAAGGGTTGGATCTTGTTTCCCTGCCATCCTGGGGAGCAGTAAGCCTCCTCCCCCTCCCCTCCCCCACCATTACTCTGCAGATGTGAACCTTATTCTCTTACAGCTAAAGGAAGCCCAATGACCTTCCCCAGGGACAATGATTGTTTGAAAGGCCTGTTTTGTAAGGAAGCCAGGGAGAAGGCATAGGTGTGAGAGTTTTTAAAAAGTTCTTCACTTGATCTAGCTTTCTGGGTCAGGGGAGGGAGAAACCCTTTCTTTATAGGAATAGAGGCAGAAAGAATGCTTGGGTATGCCCAGAGGGAGGCTTTGGGAGGAGGCCAAGCACGGGGCAGGGGCTTGAATCCTTCGCCCTTGCTAGGGGTCAGGTCAGGGGCCAAAGCAAGGTACTTGACTCCTGCCTCACCAACTGGTAGGTCCCCAGCTACCAGGTGCCCAGAGAAGGGTGCCCAGAGGCACTGCCTTCCCAGTGATTCCCCGGATGCTTGAAACAGTCCTCTGTACACCCAGTAACCGGCCTCTGATTTCCCCTTAGTTTAGGATAGTTGCTCCTTTTGAGCAAGTGGCCTCTCTAATCTGAGCTGGCCTAAAAAGTGTATCGGGAACCAGGCGTTCATTCCGAGGGTAGGAAGGTTGGGTGGAAGCACAGAGCTCCCTAGGAAGGGCACCGGATAGTCACGGGGGTTAGGTTACTGATGTTAGTTTCCATAAGACCCGTGGGGGATTGGGCCAGAAATTTAATAATCTATGTGGTCCTAAGAGGGCACAACCCATACCCACTAAGAACACAGCCGGTGAAACAGGAGCAAAAGCGACCCAGGTTCATCGCCAGAGCCACGCCTCTGCCCCTCCCGCGCATGCTCACACCCGCCCACGCGAGACCCGTCGCCGCGGGGACCTCCCCTGGCCCCTCGCGGCGGCAGCCGCGCTCCCCCGCCCTCCCCCGGGCCCGGCCGCTTCGCCGGGCGTCTCCCCCTCCCCCCCCCCACCCCGGGGGGTGCCGAGGCGGCTCAGGCGCTGATCTCCACCGGGCTGGCCTCGTCTTGCTCGCGGATCAGGTGCACGCCCGCAGTCCGCAGTGTGCGCGAGGCGCTGCGCGAGCGGCCGGGCGAGCTCGGGGCCCGGGGCGGCGACGTGTGCGTCCGGCCGGTGGCGGGGGAGCGCGCCGGAGAGCGCGGGTAGCGGCGGGCCGAGCGGATGGGCAGCCCCGGCGAGCGGCCGGGTACCGCCGGCGACACTGAGTAGCCCGGCGGGCCGGGCTCGGTGGCGCTCCGAGGCTCCGGGGCGGGGTTCTCCTCGGGCTCCGGGGAGTCCTGCAAGGACACGCGCCGCCGCCGGGGTGAGCGTCCCCTCGAGGACGCGGGGAACACCGAGGCGGGCCCACCTCCTTCCACACGCCCACCTCGTGGAAGGCGGCAGACAGAGGTCTGGTTTTTCTTGCAACACAGACCCTTAGCATAGTGCCTGGTAAGTAACAGGTGCTCAGTAAATGTTCAAATGCATTAACTTGAGGGCTTTGCCTCATTCTCTTCTTCCCGCTTGGCTTGGACAGCCTGGGACAGACTTAGTTGTAGAATAGTGGGGGAAGTCATCAGGGTTGGTGTCCAGAGACCTAGGTTTGAAGCCTAGATCTATCGGCCACTTATGTGTATTTACTTGTTTGATCCTGGGCAAGTCATTTCGCCTCTGTCGACCTTATTTTTCTAATGCCTAAAGTGCGGGTGAGGAAAATATTTCTCAGGGTTAGCCTGAGCGCTGGAAAGAGATACGAGCATGCTAAGGCTACCCAGACGAACGTGGGGCTCACTATGTGTTTGTGGGGCACCAGCACGAAGCCGCTCACCTTGTCCTTCAGGACGTACAGCGCCATGGGGTTCTTCCGCTCCTGCTCGCTGCTTCGTGGGAGGGTATCTGCTGCACAGGGTGAAGAATGGGGGTGGCTGGCCCAGGTACAGAACCCTTGTCACCAGCCAGCACCTGTACTCTTTACTCCCCAAGTGGCCAGTCACGGCCCCAACACAACCTCCACCAAAGGATCCAGAATACCTGGGGTCCTACCTTGGCCGCACCTCTCCCTGCTCTGCAGTCTTCGTGCAGTTGGTGGAGGAAGGGGCCCTGCAGAGCTGGCTTCCTTGTGGCCCAGTTCTGCCTTTTCCCAGCAGCCCACTGATCTGAGTGGCGATGGGATGGGTGAGTGGGTGGCTGGGAGCTCACCTTCTGGTTTCAGACGGTCATCATTCTGATCCATATATTCCAGGGAGTTTTGCTTCTCCAGCTTCCTCTTCTTCCTGAAAATCAACCCACCATCCTCTGAAGGGAGCTGTTGAGCATGAGCAGAAGGACTGGGGACAGGGTCCCTAGAGGAATCTGGTGGTGGTAGGAGAGGCCTTGTAACAGGCAGATGGGTGGGGCGCAGTGGGAGTAGCAGTAGTCCCTATGCTTTGGACCGAGTCACATCTAGGTCTGCATCCTGCGCTAGCATCGTGGGCAAGTCACCTAACGCATCTGAGTCTGGGTGTTATTATCTGTAAACTGCAGATAATCATACTTAAAAGGCCGTTTATTGCCCACAGCCACAGTGCCTGGTCTGCAAAATGTGCCCTGCAAGTGCGACCATTATTACAGCGCCAGGTCTGGCGGGGGTTGGGGGGGGTGGGTTGTGAGCACATGGTGTTGTTACATATGCAACACATGCAATGGTAAGACAATCTCCTGGGAAGAGGCGCAGGGCCCTGGGGGCATAGGTATTTAAGAGTCTAAGAGCAGATTGTGGGGTGGGAATGGATCCAAGGATTAGGGTGCTCAGGGTGTGGAACTTGGAGAGTTACCCAGACTTTTTGGAGGGTTTCCAGCAGGCACAGACTGTCACCAAGGTCACAAGGAGGAAGATGCCTCCTGTAGACAAGATGATGTAGAGGGAGCTTCTTCCTAGGGAGAGAGAGAGGCAGAGTGGGGGAGGGAGACTTCAGAGGAGCCACGGTATGGTGAGCAGAGCTCCTGCAGCAGAAGGGAGGGGAAAGGAGCCCCACGCAGCATGGCCGGCCCATGGCAGAACTGACTGAGCCCACTGCCCACCTGTTGCTGTCCTCCATGGAAAGCTGGCCCATCTCTGCCTCTCCCCACCCAGGGGCACTCTGCCTGGGGTGTCCTTAGTCCCTCACAGCACCTGCCTCTTGGGGTTTTGAGTCCTAGGGGTGGGCAGTCAGGGACACTCACTGTATACGGTGATTTTGATGGGCAGGCTGCGGCCCTGGCTGATGGAGTTCTCCACCACGCAGCTGTACAGGTCGTCGTCCTCCATGAGCACGCGGGTGATGGTGAGCACCTTGTGGTCAGGGGACAGGAGCATTCTCGAGTCGTTCAGGAGGGGTTTGCCGTCCTTCAGCCAGGTGTAGCTGGGCTTGGTGCCGTTCTCATGTGAGCAGTTCAGGGTAAAGGACTCGCTGAGCTCCAGCACAGTGGTTGAAGCCACTAACACCTGTGGCCTGGAAATGGGCACTGAGTCCCGGGGGAGGGAGAGCCTTGAGCCATGGGACAAAGAGCTTCTTCCTTCCCCTTTGTACCTCCCCGCCTTCCAACACATCACAGCTCAACTTGTGGTAGGAGAGGCCCTTTATGGGTCTTTCCAATCTTTCCCCATCGCCCACCCATTCATTCGTTCATTCATTCATTTCTTTACCAAGTATTTGTTGAGCACCTACTATGTGCAGAGGATACAATGCTGAACAAGACAGCCACGGTCCCTGCCTCATGGGCCTTCCTTTCCTTCTCAAATGCCCTTTCAAGATGTCTTAAACTGGCCCAGCCTGGAACATATTTCGGTTGGGTTAAACCTAGGTCCAAATGTCTGGGTTCAAATAGTAGCTCTATCACGTGCTAGCTGCGTGACCCTACGCAAGTTCCTCAACCTCTTTGTGCCCCAGTTTCCTCATCTACAAAATGGGGATAATGATATTAACTATCCCTACCTTATTACGAGCATTAAATGAGTCAATGTATTTCAAAACAAGGAACACCTCTGGCATATTGTAAGCACTTTATAGACACTCACTGTGGCCTGTCTGCCAACTTCTGATGTCCAATGGTCTCTCTCTCTCTCTCTCAGCTCCCCAGTGGCTTCTGTGTTGGTATTCCCAGGGTCTGGCCAGTGTACAGGGCCAGGCACCAGCCCCTTCCCCAGTCCCAGGCACCAGCCCCGCCCCCTTTCCTGTCAGAGCACTTTACCATCTACAGTGAGGTTGATGGTCTTCTCCCCGGTGAACGTGTCATCCGTGATGGAGATCTCAACCTCATAGGTGCCCTCATCGGCCAGCTGCAGGTCACTGAGGAGCAGGGAGCCATTTTCGAAGAGGCGGATGCGGTCTCGGTAGTCAGTCCGTAGGGTGCCAATGACCTCTGTGCCGATGGACTGTACCACGGTCACTGGCTTGTCCCGCTTCAGCTGCCACTTCACGACGGGCTTGTCGGTGCTGGTGCTACTGTACTGCACGGAAAGCAGGGCTGACTTCCCCACTGTGCCATGGATCAGGCGCACCGGGCTGGTGATGTTCACCCCCTCCAGGGGCTCTGTGGACACACACCCATGGGGAGACGGCAGTGTCAGGCTCTTGGCTCCCTACTCCACACCCTCCCTTATGTCTTCATGCCTCACCCTCTGGGCCCTTCACTCCCTGTCAGTCCTTCCTTCCTACCCTTTGGCGCCATGCCTCTCTACTACAGCTCTGGCTCCTCTGATTCGCTGTCACCCCTCACACCCATCTCTTGCCCTAAGTCCTTCTTCTCCCTTCTTCTCTCTACCTCTGACAATTTTTTCCATTGCCTTCCTCTTGAGGAAGACCTGCAGCTAACCCACGCGCTGTGTGCTGCATTCGCAGAAACATTTACTGAGTACTGTTCCATGTCCTTGGGACATATCAATGAGCAAAACAGACAAACACAGACCTCAGGGTGAATTTGTCAGATTTTCTTCTTGATTGGGGATTGGGAAAGTAGAGAATGGAGAAGCATGGGAACATAGATTCGTAAAGGAGTGTGTGACAAGACACTGCCAATAAAGGGGAAGTTTAGGGGCCAGAAGAGAACTAGACTATTCTTCATTTGTACCAAGAGTCTCACCTCTCCTTGCCCCAGCTGCATGTAACACTTCACTAGGCCTGCCTGGGGTCAGGTGTGAGGTCGAATAGTCCTGCAACTGTTTTGAAATACACCCAGACTCCAACCCAACTTGCAGCCCCTATAGAAGAGGGATTCGGGATGGGTAGAACAAAGAGTTTGGAATCAAAAGGCCTTGTGAGATTGGACTGCACCACTTCCAGCCTGTGTGGATCTGGGCAAGCCATCATTCTAGGCCTCATCCTTCTCATTTAGAAACTCAGGATACAAAAGGATGTTCTTGTTAGAATAACTGCCTTATCAAGTTCACAGTGGGAAAGTACAAAACGTACATCAGTTATTATCGTGTAGCAGAGAGAACACAAGAATGAGCATCAGAGACTTGGGCCCTTACTGTTGCCTTAGGGCCTAGGAAAAGTCACTTAGCTGTTCGGGGCTCAGACAGGTAAAATAAATGGTAATCTTGATGTCTCATTCATTTGTTCTGGCCCTGAAATCCTGGGATTTTACTATCAAGTCCAATGGTTGCCCCATCTAGAGATACATCTCATATTTCAGAGATCTCTTAGAAGCTTTGGGATCTGAATGAGTGCCATTCATTGGTGTTACATGACCTTGCAGAGCAATATGACCACCTAAAGGGGAGTCTTCTGGAGAGGATGTTCATTGGGAGCAGGGCTGAGTTTAGCTAAACAGACACACACATGTTAGGTTCTCAGTCTCCCTGCACCCCCAGCTGCTCTCTTTGATGGTTACACACCTCTGAAGTTCCCTCTTTCTTTCTCTCCACTGCTTCCCACTCTGCTATTACTGCTATTTGGATTTGGGGAAGCCAAGTTGTACTTTTCCTTTCCTTATTCTTCTCCTTGTACCTAAAGGACCCAGATCAAACCAAGAGGGAATTAAACTAAAATTTAATAAACATATTCAACCCATTTTTGGAACAAATGCTTTAAGTAGCAAACTCATCATCTTTGGAAGGGGTCAAGGAAAGGCCAATTGTTATTCTTTCACCTCTCTATGCCTCAGTTTCCTCCTCTGCATAATGAGGTTTGGGGCCAAATGATGACAAAGGGCTTTCTCAGCTCTAACATTCTACGATCCAGTACCTGCCAAGTCTGTTAGACTTAAGTATGAAGGTCGAATCACGAAACCTTAAGTACTGGAATGATTGAAGTCACCATACGTATGAATATTATATGCTTGTTATTGAGAGGATTCTTGATTTGGGGGAACTGGAATGGCCAAATCAAATATTTTCAATTTTTTAAAGTAGGGTCCATGCTGGGTGTGGCTTGAATAGCCCTCCTCCAATGTGGGCTTGAACTCACAACCCTGAGATCGAGACCGGACTGGAGATCTAGTGTGACGCTAAACCGGTGAAGCCACCCATGTGCCCCTCAAATTTTTTATTAAAGATATTTTGAGGGGTGCCAAGGTGGCTCAGTCAGTTAAGCATCTGACTCTTGATTTCAGCTCAGGTCATGATCTCATGGTTTGTGGGATCGAGCCCTGCATCAGGTTCTGTCTGTACTGACAGAATGGAGTCTGCTTGAGATTCTTTCTCTTCATTTCTCTCTGCCCCTTCCCTACCCCCACTCTCTCTGTCTCTCTCAAAATAAGTAAACATTTTTAAAAAAGATATTTTTGTTCCCACAAACTATGTATGAGAATGAAAACAAATAAAATCTAGTTGTAGCTCACCAATTTGGCCGAAGAGGTGGTGGAAACTAGACTCTTGTCCTCCTCAATCACTTGGGGTGCCACTAGGAATCCCTGTGGCTCTCTGTATCAGACTGAAATCCATTTGACCATGTAATGTTTGAGATTTCTTCCAAGTGTTAGTTTCTGTGATTATTTAGATGCAATTTCCTACCTAGCAACTGCTAGGTCCCAGGCTTGGCTTGATTTAGAAAAGCCAGCGTTCAGATTTCCCTGAACAGGCAAATAGACTTTGGTATGTGTGACTTGAGGTGGCCCTGAAAAAAGTCATTGACTTTCATTAAAGGCCAAATAGTTGGAGAACATCTGTTCAGGACCTAGTCTGAAGTGGTGGGGTTTGCACATGAGGGTGGTATATGCAGAGTCATCCTGGGGCTTAGCCCCCCCAACCACCAAACCTTGAGGGTTCTCATTTCCTCCTTCCAGGAGGATGAGAAGTGACAGCCCCAGCCTCAGCCCCAAGGAGAAGTGGAAGGGATTCTCTCTCCCTGCGTTCTTCTCTGGCCCTCTCTTGAGCTTCCTCTGTGTCACGTCTCCCCTGTTGCATACAATGTCCAGGTGGTCCTTTTGTGATGTCTTCCCAGCTCAGGTCAGTTCTTTCTGCCAGTTTAAACTTGATTCTTCTGCATAAGAACGTTGGGAAAGCTATAACGTATGAATTGCCCTAGGCTTCCCCCTCCTATAGGTGGGTGCCTGCCTCGTGTGTAGGAACATGGGTGTGCCCACGAGTCACAGGGATGTTTGTGCACATGTTCAGAAGTGAATGGAGCAGTCTTTCTCAGAAAGCTGACAAAGAGAGTATTTTGCTGAGCAAACACTGTTTCCCAAAACTCTAGCCAAAAGTGGAGTCGGTGTTAGGTTCAGGGTTCCACAACTTTCAGGGGACGCAGAGAACTGGGATGGGTGCCAGAGCATGACACAGAAATGAGGAAATGGCTAACAACAACGATCCACAGTGGAAATAAAAGAAACGAGGGCTATTCAACCTTGAGAAGCTACGAACTTAATCATGGTCCTTGAGTCGCTGAGGCATCATTATGTAGAAAGTCTCTGTTCCCACTGGAGGCTGAACAAAAGGAAACTGACATCACAGCAAGATTTACCTGTCACCTTAAATGATGCCATACTGGGTCAGATGGGTGGGCCCTCGCAAGTGGGATTTTGACCAGCTGTGACACCAGAGAATGTCAAGCTTTAAAGCATGAGAATGTACCTGTCAGTAGTCTTGAGTTCCCTTAATAGCCTTTCCTTTTAAGGCAACCATCTTCTACTCGTTTTTATGTGCTCCTTTTTGCTTGGCAAAATTTTCCTTTTACCAGTATTTGCCTTGAATTTTCCTTTTAAAAGTATCAGTGAAACATTGCCCACCATGTATTCTAGGGTTTGGTCTTTATACACCGAATCCATACTTACTAACACCATGGACTCCAGTTATAGACCTTTTTATGTGGGTTTTTGTTTTGTTTGTTTTGTTTGGATCTGTCACCACAAGGAAGTCCCTTTGACCATCATAGATGTCTTTCTCTGGGCTTTCTCTAATTCTATTATTTCTTTTTTGAGGTGCAGTGACCAGAACTACATACAATAATCCAAAGACAGCACACAGTATGTTTTTCTAAATGAAAAACTTCTTGCTTTCTGCTTTTGGTGTTTTTCATATTCTTCCTAACGAATGATGCTCTGAGAACAACCACTCCTCTGCTCCTGTCCTTTTAGGTGCACCACTGATGGCTACCTGCTGAGGTTACTGTGTTGTATGCTTACGCTGGTATCCTGTTGAGGCCTCCAAGGGTCAATAAGAGTGTGAAATCATTTTAAGTGTCCATCACTCAGGAACATAAGGGGAAGCCAGGAAACAGAAATTGTGAAGAAGGCCCTTGGGATCCAGGAAGAGAGGGGTCTAGGTCCCTTTTTATCTGTACTCTAAAGAGTATAGATGTTCAGTAATGCATACCTAGCATTAATACCTAGGTATTAAGATGCCACCCGGAGATTTACCCTGTTTTAGATCAGAACAAGCACTATGGTTAAGCTGTTAGCTCTCTAAACTGACTTATAAGTTTAACACAGTACCAATGAAAATCCCAGGAGGTTTATTTTGTGATAGAGGCACAAGAATAGACCAATAGATCAGTGGAATAGGATAAAGAGCCCCAAGATAAACATATATGATTGCTTGACTAACGCCAAAGATGACATTGCCGTGCACTGGGAAAAGGATTCTCTTTGTAATAAGTAGTGCTAGACCATGTAGGAAAGAAATGAGTTGTGACTCTTACCTCACACCTTACACAAATATCAATCCTAGATGGACTGCAGATCTAAATGTGGAAGGTAAAACAATATGTTTTTAAAAAGAAAACATAGGAGGGGGCACCTGCATGGCTTAGTGGGCCAAGCGTCAGACTTCGGTCATGATCTCGCGGCCTGTGAGTTCGAGTCCCATGTCAGGCCCTGAGCTGTCAGCCTGCTTCACATTCTGTGTCTCTGTCTCTCTCAGCCCCTCCCCCACTCACGCTCTGTCCCTGTCTCTCTCTCAAAAATAAATAAATATTAACAAAATAAAAAAAATAAAACATAGGAGAATATCTCTATGACTTGGGGGCAGACACATATTTCTTAAACAGGACACAAAAGTGGTACCTATAAAAGAAGAAAATGATACATTGGACACAATACAATTAAGACCTTGTTCATCAAAAGACACCATTAGGAGAGTGAAAAGGCAAGCTGCAGAGTGAGAGAGATTTGCAATGCATATGTCCTAGAGAGGACTTGTATCCAAAATATATTTCTTAAGCTTGTACAAATCAATAATTTTTTAAAAATCCAGAAAACTTAGTAGAAAATGGGCAAAAGACTTAGAACAGGTACTTCACAAAGAAGGATATCCAAATGGCAAATAATGATATGAAAAAGATACAACTTCATTAATAATCATGGGAATGCAATTTCAAAGTATTATTTGATACCATTTCCTACTCACTAGGGGATGACTAACATGAAAAAGATAAAACACAATTGTTGAGGAAGATGCAGGGTTATCTGGAACTCTCTTACCCTGCTGGTGGAAATGTAGATTGATATAATCACTTTTGAAAATTGTTTGACCATATCTACTAAAGCTAACCACATATAACTCAGCAACTCAACTCCTAGGTATATCCCCAAAGAAATGTGTACCAAAATGTTCACCAAAAGACAGGCCCTAGAATATCTTAGCAACTATATTGATAAAGCCCCAAACTAGAAGCAACCAAAGTACTTATAAAAGTGGAATAAAAAAATTTTTAAAAATGTTTACTTATGTATTTTGAGAGAGCACGCTCACGCTTCTGTGCAAGCAGGGGAGGGGCAGAGAGAGAGAGAAAATCCTAAGCAGGCTCCACACTGTCAGCACAGAGGGTCTCTGTCTCATGAACTGTGAGATCATGACCTGAGCTGAAATCAAGAGTTGGATGCTTAACCCACTGAGCCACCCAGGTGCCCTGAATAGATAAATAATTTGTGGTATATTCATACAATGTAATATTATACAGCATTGAGACCAAACAAATGACAATTTCAACAACAACATGAATGAATCTTACAAATTTTGGGGTGCCTGGGTGGGTCAGTTGGTTAAGCATCAGACTTCAGCTCAGGTCATGATCTCATAGTTCAGGAGTTCAAGCCCCTCTGTGCTGACAACACAGAGCCTACTTTGGATCCTCTGTTCCCCCCTCCCTTTGCCCCTCCCCCTTCAAAAAAATTTTTAAAAACCCAAATGTGGTGTTTAGTGAAAGAAGCCAGATACTAAAGAATGCAGGCATATGTCCTTTACACGAAGTTCAAAGACATGCAACATTAATCTGTATTAGAAGTTAGGATACCACTGTACCCCTGAAGGAGGGCAATTGTAACTGAAGTAGTATGGAGGTGCTTCTGAGATGCTGAAATATTCTTTTTTTTTTTTTAATCTTGGAGGCTGATTACATGGATTCATTCACTTTTGAAAGGTTTATCGCCTGTATCCTTACACTCAATGCGTTTCTGTGCATATCTCTGTTAAAAGGAAAAGATAGCACCTACAATGTGAAGGTGATCTCATGGCTAAAAGGGTGAAGTCCAGATAAGGGGTTTCTTCCTATTGGGTCTCTGGAGGATGGGATAGTTTTAGGATCCCGGAGAGTAAAATTTTGCAAATCAGCTTATGTAGATTTATGGCATGCCACGTTTATGTCTATATGTCAGTCTCTAGAAAAACTTTGTTTGAATGTTTCATGAATTAGGCTGAGATCAATTTAGGAAAGCCTCATTTGTCCATGTTAAGGACAAAACATTAAAGACTATTACTTGCCCCCTTTAAGTGTCAATCCTAGGGGCGCCTGGGTGGCTCAGTCGGTTAAGTGGCCAACTTCAGCTCTGGTCATGATCTCGCAGTCTGTGAGTTCGAGTCCTGCATCAGGCTCTGTGATGACAGCTCAGAGCCTGGAGTCTGCTTCGGTTTCTGTGTCTCCCTCTCTGCCCCTCCTCTGCTTGCTCTCTGTCTCTCTCTTAAAAATAATAAACATTAAAAAAAAAAGTCAGTCTTAAAAACTACATTTCCCAGTCTTCTTTGCAGTTAGGTATGACCATGTGACCAAGTTCCAGGCAGTAGAACCAGTGGAAGTGATAGGTACCAGTTCAAGGCTAGCTTAGAAAAATGTTTCTCTCTCTCTCTTTTTTAAAATTCTCTACCTGAAAGAAATGGAGATAAACCTTGGAGTGACTGTTGGAAGCTGATAGAGAGCTTCATCAGCTTGGTCCCTGAAAAAACTTCAGGAAGCGGCACCCTTGAGGAAGGGGTCCCAGGCTTAGTTTAGAACCACACTGTCCTATTATATGGCTTGTACCAGGAACGTAAATTTTGGAATTTGTTGTAGAAGCTAGTATCTTCCTAACTAATATAGTGAGGATGGCAGAAATTCCTTATAGAATCCCAGCTCTTGCTTGTTCTTGAGTCCACAGCAGCACAGTGGCCTGACCCTGCACTTATTTACCTCTTTACCTACCATAGGCCATAACTCGTACCCTCTTAGCATAATTTATATTTACAATGCTTTTTGCTGTATTTACTGAGTAACATGTTCCCACACAGAAGATCCTTTGTTACTTTTTGTTTTTGCCTGGTCACGATGACTGACGAGATCCTTCTATAATTTTTTTTTCTTACCATTCGATGACCTGAAAGCATTTAGGGAGAGCTCTGATTGGTATATTACATTGTGCATTTCACGTTCCCGATCCACTGCCTGCATACCTTGGGTTCCCGTTATTTCTTCAACTCGCTGTAATTTCCACTGAGACTGCTCTTACTAAGGCTAACAGTTAACCTCTGAATTTTGTATCCAACAAACTCTTTGAGCTGTAATATAATAATAAAATAATAATGATGATGATGATAATAGTTGCAGATATAATTGGCCCTTGATATACTGGACCTCTTTGACACTTTTGATGCTGACTCTCAGAAAAACTCTCAACTCCCTTTCTGGACACCACAGTCTTCTAGTTTCCCCTCTGTCCCTCTTGCTTTTCCTTCTTGGTCTCCTCGGCAGGCCTTTTCCTCTTCTACCTTCTTCTACAAATCTAGGGTTACTCTGTGCTCCACTTTTAGCCCATTTTCTCCCCCGAGGCGATATTATCCACTCTGTGTTTTGGATCTCACCTATAGGCTGAGGGCTTCCACCTGCTTTTCTTCACCCCTGACCCCTGTCCCCACCCCCACTTCAGGCTATTCAACATCTCCCCACAAATATCATGTAGGCATTTCAACCTCAACCTGGTCGGGACTCATTATCATACCCCAGACCCCATCCCAGCGATCGGTTCGATCGGTTCAGGCGTCCGTCACACAGAAATCCTATCTCCCTCTCTGGATCCTCCTACTTCCTATCAATCACTAGATCCTGACTTTGGCTCAAAATATTATCTCCATGTGCCTCCTTCTCCCTATTTTTATTCTAATTCCAGCTCATGTCATTTCTCTCTTGAACTATTGCAATAGCCTTGTTATGGGTTAAATTGTATCCACCCCCAAATTCATATGTTGAAGTCCTAACCCCAGTATATTGAGTGTGACCTTCTTTGGCAATGGGCTTATTGCCAAGCTGAAGTCAACCCTGGGGTTGGCTGGGCCCCTAATCTAGTATGACTCATGCCTGATAAAAAGTGGAAATTTGGATACAGACACAGGCACAGGGGAAATGTCCTGTGAAGATAGGTTATGTTGGCACAAGCCAAGGAACGACCTGAAACCAGCAGACAGTCCTGGAACAGATCCTTCCCTTGGGCCCCAAAGAGCCTATGATCTTGATCTCAGACTTTCAGCCTGCAGAACTGTGATAATGTACATTTCTGTTGTTTAAGCCACCCGGTTTGTGGTTCTCTATGACAGCGGGCCTAGCAAATGGATACAGGCTTCCTTTCCTATCTTGTTTGCCTCTTGTTTCTTTTCCAATGGCTCCCTGCACGGTGAGCTTTCTGAAATACAAATCTGGTCCTGCCAGTCCCCAGATTACATACCACCTAATACCCCTTTCCCTCCTCCACTGTTTACAGATTATATTCCAGGGTCCTTAGTATGGTTTACAAGGCCCTCGCCTAATTCACATTTTCCTCTCCAGCAATGGTGAATGGCTGGGCTCCTACTAAACACAGGATGCCATTTCGAAATGTTGACCTTTCTCCATTTCCCCAACTATAATGCACACTCCCACACCTACCTCTTTTTCTCATCCTTTAAATTTTGGGGCAGACATTCCCAGGAAACCTCCCCTGATATTCCCCCACCTGACCCTGCACCACTAGCAGCAGCTTTCTGGATGGGGTAGGTGACCTCTCTCTGATCCTGGGCATCCTTTGTGTATTTGACTCATAGTAGTTTCTGCATTTTATTAAAATGATCTCTGCATCTATTTGCTACACCAAACTGAGAATTTCTAGGCTCTCCGGATTGTGTGTGTGTGTGTGCACGTGTGCACATGACCACACACACACACACACACACACACACACACACACACAGAAACACATCTATTTAGAGTACGATCAATTCTCTAAGGAGTTGGTAGGGGGCAGTACAGAAGGTAGGTGTTTCAGGTGAGTTATAGATAGATTGGTGTTATTTCCAAAAATCAAAAGGCGCATTATCTCCAAAGCTTATTTCATCTCCCTTGCTGTTTTACGGTCGGAGAAGCTAGGATGGGGGTTGGGGAGGCACAAACCCCAGATCTCCCCCTCCCCTCCAAGCCCCATCATGATCCCTTGGAAAGAATGCCCAACTGGCCCACGCCAACAAGACATCCCATAAGAAATGGCTCACTGCCCTCTATCTAATGTACTGAATGCCGTGGGAGCTCCAAAGTCATGCAGCCTTTTGGGGGAGGGGCGCAGGGGCTGGGCGGGAGGCACACAGAATGAAGAAATACATTCAACACTAATGCCTGAATTCACTGAGATGCTTCCCACGGCGGCAGCTGAGCTCTCTCCCCTCCTCCCACCCTAAAGGCGTTCTGGCCTTCAACTCCCCCTCCCTCTCTTTTGAAAGTACCGGGTCCCCTCTCCAGACCCTTTCTTACCCTTTTGGTCTCCTACCTGGCTGGATCAGAAGAAGGTAGACAAAAGGGGTGAGGCTCAGGGCACTGAAGGCTCTGGACAGGGCTCCCCTTTCTCTCTTCATTTTGGGTGGCGTTCTCCAGCTCTGGTGCAGACAATTAGCATGATTTCTCCACTCTGGGCACGTCCCTTTGTACCACTCGGAGTTTCTCTGCCCGAACACAGCCCTGCCAACTTCCCTCTGAATACACAGAGCCCTGTGTGTTGCTGGACTTGTTCTTTCCTCTCTTTCAGACCTGGCATTTTCTAGTTTCAAAGCGCTGCATCCCCAGTTCAGAAGGGGGTATCTGCTTAGGATATAATCTCCGATGTGGGTTCTAATCTGATGGGTCCCATCGGTTCTTTGCCTGCCTGCACTGAGCCCTACTACCAGGGGGAGGTGAGGGTCTGGGCTCGGCGAGGGGACACACTCTGAGCTGGGTCTTGTGTCCTGACCTACCCTGTCTCCACCTCACGCTCCTTGTTCCTGCGAAGAAGGGCGCGTGCCAGGGACTGACCTCCAATAAGCTCTGAAAAGGGAGGGAGAGGAGCTTTCAAAAAGCTGAGGGAAACAGAGATCCCAGAGAACTGCTGAAGAAATGGAAAGCCCCTGTTCCACCCCAAAGGAAGAAGATTGGAAACTGGTTTGAAGTCTATTGTTTTCAAACGTGTCCTGGTCCTGCTTGGGATTCTCTATCCTATCACAGAATCACATAGATGCTGGGGACCTCTTTCCAGAAGCCGTTCTGTTCATTCCCCTGCCTCCAGCCACTTTCCTAGAACATGCCAGAGCACAGATGAAGGTAATACTCTAACAGCCAGCATCCTGGGGTTCTGTTACTGGCGTCACAGTCCCGAGGCTGTGATGAGAACACCCTAGCTCTATATGACCCCTCATGACTGTGTCCACACCTTCTCACGAGCACTGTCAGTGGGACATATACTTACTAACTGAGGTCTTGGGAAGGGCTCATAGTTTCATTAAGCCTCTAATTTCACATCTAAATCTCAGGGAAATAGTAGCTTCCTTATAGGAATTGTTGGGAGGATTGATGACAATTTAGTACAGTGGAGTGCCTTGGAAATTCTTTATTAGAGAAATTTTATTTTTTATTAAAAAAATTTTAATGCTTATTTATTTTTGAGAGAGAGACAGAGAGACAAAGCACAGGCAGGGGAGGAGCAGAGAGAAGAGACACAGAATCTGAAGCAGGCTTCAGGCTCCGAGCCATCAGCACAAAGCCCGATGTGGGGCTTGAATCCACGAACACTGAGATCATGACCTGAGCTGAAGTCAGATGATTAACCGAGTGAGCCACCCAGGTGCCCCGAGAGATAACATTTTAAACTTAAAAACAAAAAACAAAACAACAAAAAACCTGCTTCTTTTTTTTCATTCCTGTAGTGGTCTTTACGTCTTGATGATACCAAAGTTTACAGCTCCCTTCTTGGTTGTTTATAAGCCAGGTCTTAGTTGTGTAGATGTGGTGGCTACCTTTGGAAATCTTCATGTTATATCCTGGAGGAAGCCTGAGTAGGTCAGGTTTCTAGAACTGAAATCTCATTGCACAGCCTATCTGAGCCAAAGGGTGGGGAGTAGAGGAGGGAAGCATTGGTTTTAACTCGAGAGAGGAACTCCAAAAAATATTCTGAAATACGTAAATGAGATTCATGTTTTCATTTTGCATCTCTGTGCCTATGACTTTCCCCTACACAGCTCAAGGCACCTGTCTGCCTCTGGTAAAGTTAGTGCTGTTTTGGCAGACATACTACGAAAAGGAGAAAGTCAGTATAGAGTTTCTGACATCTAAAATAGTACTTTATTTATATTTTTTTATATAAAAAATTTTAATGTTTATTTTTGAGAGAGAGAGAGAGAGACAGAGAGACTGAGCATGAGCAGGGGAAGGGAAGTGAAGGAGGGAGACACAGAATCTGAAGGAGGCTCCAGGCTCCGAGCCATCAGCACAGAGCCCAACGCAGGGCTCGTATCTACAAACTGCAACATCATGACCTGAGCCGAAGTCAGACTTTTAACCAACTGACTGAGCCACCCAGGGGCCCCTAAAATAGTATCTTAGAGTCAACAGTAAGACCAAAGGGTTGTGAGCCAGTCTTTATAAAGGACAAAAGGCTATTTTAATTTCCTCTATCATTTCCACTTATCACAGAGCAACCTGTGGCCCGGATCACAGACTTCTGCTGTACAGTATGGATAAAATGGCCTCTTTCGCCTGTGATGGGTGGGCCTTGAGGCTTACTGTCTAAGAGTAAAAGGAGGATATTATGTTCAGGAAATAGATAGCCTGGAGTCTGCCTTTTTTAGCCTGAAGGACGATGGAAAGAAAATTGTGATAACAGGAGACCTAAGTGGGATCTAACTTCTCATCCTCCTCCCTTCCTTTGCCCTAGGGGTGGACCTCAGGCTCTTTATACCCATGTAGAATATGCAAGTGCCCCAAAGTCCCCACAGGTTCCCTTGAGGGGACTCAGAAGTGCCAAGAGGCAAAGCACTGGCAACAGCTGGGCCACCAACTGCTTGCGTGGGGTCAGCTTGTAGCTCAACAAACCAGGGAGCAACCTGGAGGCGTGCGGGGACCAGAGGGAGTCCTGAGTGCCACCCAGGCCCACCGACACCTTCTCCTCTCTTGTCATGAGGTCACCTAGGCCATACCACCTACACTCACTGGATGGCTCCTGGCTCCTTCGAGAGGAGCTGTATTGGGGAGGAAGCTAAACAGATCGAATGAGCAGTTGCCTGAGTTGTTTAAGCAGTGACTGAGCCACTTCAAGAGAACGTTAAAATAGTCAGGTCAGAGTGAGTTTATGAGGATGGACTAATAGCTAGCTTTTCCCTGCTGCCCAGGGGCTGCGAGTGGCTTCTGCAGCAGGTTACAGCATCCGCAACCGCACGAAGACACTGCAGTTGCCTTGGGCCGAGTGTCCAACCAGCAAATTTGCAATCTTGCTTCAGGTCTCTGTCTCTCTGTCTCTCTCTTTTTTTTCTTCTTAAATTGATTTATTTTGAGAAAGAGGGAGAGCTCATGTATGTGGGCAGATGCAGAGGGAGGGAGGGAGAGAGAGAGAGAGATAGACAGACAGACCGAGAATCCCAAGCAGGCTCTACACTGTCAGCAGGCAGCCTGATGCAGGGCTCAAACTCATGAACTGTGAGATCATGACCTGAGCTGAAAGCAAGAGTCAGATGCTTAACCCACTGAGCCACCCAGGAGTCCCTTGCTTCAGGTCTTTTTAAGATGAGTAGACCTATAGAAGCTTATGGCATCTGCTTATATACCTTTCTCTCTTAAATCAGAGAGCTCTCTGATTGAACAACTATGGCTACTGGTCTCTGTAGCCCTACTGCCTAATACAGGACAGGGCACGTAGTAGTTCTTAGCAAACAGTTGCTGAATATTGCGTGGATAAGAACTTGAGGGAGCCACCTTAAGCAACTGGATGCAATAGAGAATGGCCGTGAAGGGGGAGCTGGCGCAGAGGAGTGAGTGCAGAGAGGGCACCAAATAATGAGTGCAGACGATGGACTAGTTTGTGAGCACAGATAAAGCACTTCTTTGTGAATTCCCAGAAATAACTGGGATTCACTTTTTGGGGGCGGCACTAATAAGCAGCTGGGTTCCAGAGGCATAAGATAACAGTCAGGCCAACTTATTCTCATACATAACATAAAATTTATGTCACCTGCCCTGGCTTACCTTGTCTTATCCTTCCATATGTTCTATGGGTGTGTCCGTCTCATCTTATTACTGATGACAAACATTTTAGGGATATCCTCATTATAAATATTACATCTTTTCTCTCTTCAACTCTAAGTCCATTTATACTTGTCGGTCTGCATGTGCCTCTCTTAGATCAGAAAAGGTTACTGTGGCCACATCCTCATTAGCCAGGGAGCTTCTCCAGTGGGGGGACTATACCTCTTCATTCTTATGAGTCTCCTCGCAGGGCCCAATTCTGAGCTCTGCTTAATGTGGCTGCTTAACCAAATGATGTTGTTGGACTGCTTGACGGCAGTAATGCCCCGCTTAGCCAAGATCTGTGTGCCCCTTTCTCCTCTGAGCACTTCAAAAGATGCATTTCCAAAGGCATTGTCCTCTTCAGAGCAGCATGGCCCAGGCCTCTTGGCCCTGCTACACACAGTTGCTTCTGGCTGCTCCTCAAATATCTGGCACCCCCTCTGGGGGTCTGGGATCCCGACTCCTCACCCCTGCACCCATGGCAGCCCTGGCCTGCTGTACTCACTCCTCTGTGCCGAGCACAAGATAGTGTCCCCAAGGCTCAGAATGGAGCCCTTAGCACACGCATGCTCATGCACACACACACACCTCTGCCTACTTAAACTCACAAGTATTCCATCTCCAGGACAGGAAGCAGTTACTTGGTTATTTTGAATAAGTCACCACCCTACGCAGAGAGCTCTATGGGAAATAGGGGGAGGGGGAAATACAACTTCTGGCTGGGGAAATGTAAAAATGAGCTCTGCCTTCAAAGAACTGCAGGTCTAGCAGGGATGACAGGACAGTAGATTAATTCACAGCAAGAGACATTTGAGATGACCTTGTCCCACTTCTTCATTTCTTAGGTGAGGGAATTGAGAGAAAGAGAAGATAAGTAACTTGCCCTGTTATGTAATGATCAACCCAGGACCCCTAACGTTACTTTACATTAGAGGCAAGAAGAGGTCACACACACACACACACACACACACACACACACACACACTGGTATATAAGTACCAATTTAATTTATTTTATTTAAAAAGATTTTAATGTTTTTATTGATTGAGAGAGAGAGTGTGTGTGTGTGAGCGGGAGAGGGGCAGAGAGAGAGGGAGACACAGAATCTGAAACAGGCTCCAGGCTCTGAGCTGTCAGCACAGAGCCCGATACGGGGCTCCAACCCATGAACCGCGAGATCATGACCTGAGCTGAAGTCAGACGCTTAACCGACTGAGCCACCCAGGTGCCCCTATAAGTACCAGTTTCAATAATTTGACCATTAGATTTAAGAATGCGTCCACTCACCTGGCCTGTTTGTCTCCAGGCTCCAGGAAGATTGTTCTGGCATCGATGAGCCGCTGGAGAGGTTCCGGCTTTATTAATACCATAACACCAGTGGTGATTTTTATATTTTGCCCTCTTCTCTCTTTCTCTCCATTCACTTCCTGGTATTAATTGAACCATATCTGTTCTTCCACCAGATTGTAAATAATCTTCGGTAGCAGGACGAAAAAGAATCTTCCGACAAATAAATGACACCAAAATCCCTCTTAGAGAGGGGATTTTCTTCGGCAAGGAAAAGATTTAAATACATCACATGGAGTGGAAGGAAGGTAAGGTCCTGAGTATAAAAAGTCAGGGAAGGAAAAGGTAAACTGCTGCGCTCTT